GTTTAGAAAAACATCTTCTTTCTTTTTTAATTCACAAATAATAATTGTACATATTTATGGGGCACATAGTCATGTTTCAATACATATAATGTATAGTGATCAAATCAGGATAATTATTTTGAATCCTTTAACAAATCTCTCCCTCTTCCTCAAAAATGTCTCATTTCTATGGACCCTTGAATCAGTTTTGATAATTCTACACACACTATCATTAGCCCTTTTATAGGAAACGGACTTTGCAGAGGAAGACAACACACAGAACACAGGAAGGGAATTTCTAGGAACACGCTGCTTATAAACAGGGCAAATAATTACCAGTACTTTTGTCCAAATCAATTCAAACCTATAATCTCCACTTCAGAAAAAGTGAATTCATAGTTTTCATAACCCTTCAGGAATTAACAGGTGATTAAGAAAAAAAGAGGAATTGTTCTTGAATGTAAAAATTAGGCTCAGCTGGGCGCGGTAGCTCACACCCATAATCCCAGCACCTTGGGAGGCCGAGGCAGAAGGATCACCCGAAGTCAGGAATTCAAGACTAGCCTGGCCACCTCAAATAAAACATAAAAAATTAGCCAGGCATAGTAGCGCACACCTGTACTCTCAGCTACTGGAGAGGCTGAGGCAGGAGAATCGCTCGAACCTGGGAGGTGGAGGTTGCAGTGAGCCAAGATGGTGTCACTGCACTCCAGCCTGGGCGACAAGAGCGAAACTCTGTCTCAAAAAGAAAAAAAAAAAAATGGGTTGACTCTAGTCATCCATCCACTGTGGCTATCAATATCTTTAGGCTGTGATCCTATTTCAAGGCATTGTTTTTTACTAGAGAACTCTTTACTTTCCTGTTTTTCTATTTAATCCAATCGTTGTAACTCCTGGCCTATAAGTCAAATTTAAATGAAAAAATGAATAGCATTTAAATGCTTTCTATCAAAATTGTTCATTGTTTTCACAGGCAATGTAGGCAAATGTATTTTGTTCATAGCATTCTTGCAAAAATGTGCTGACTTAGAAAAAAGCCTACAAAAGAAACGTGCCAATAGGGGATGGGGGACTCCTCCAAAAGAAATGTGCCAGCTTATAAAAACATAAATAAATACATAAAATTCTACAAAAGAAATATGTTGACTAGGAGAAAAAAAGGTCCATAAAACACTATCGGCCGGGCACAGTGGCTCATGCCTGTAACCTCAGCACTTTGGGAGGCCAAGGCAGGCGGATCACTTGAGGTTGGGGGTTCAAAACCAGCCTGACCAACATGGAGAAACCCCATCTCCACTAAAAATACACAAAATTAGCCGGACGTGGTGGCACATGCCTGTAATCTCAGCTACTTGGGAGGCTGAGGCAGAAGAATCACTTGAACCTGGGCGACGGAGGTTGCAGTGAGCCGAGATCGCACCACTGCACTCAAGCCTGGGCAACAAGAGTGAAACTCCGTCTCAAAAAACAAAAGAAAACAAAAAAAACCCACTATCATGCTATATGTTTTGATATTTTTATGCTACTCAGTAGAGCCTCGCACAGTGGTGACATTCTTATCTCTGGCATAGCCTTTTTTGGAGACCTGTGGAAGACAGTGCGGCACAAGGGTGAGGGCACAAGTTCATGTATCACATGCTTCTTGGCAACTATGAAGCACAACTTAAATTTAAGGCAACATTATTTTCTTTCCCTTTAGAAAAAGAACTTTTTAAAAAATTAAGGAGAAAAAATTAAAGAAATTGTTGCCTGGAAACAACCCAAATGTCCAGCAGCTGAAGAATGGATAAACAAAATGTGGTCTAGCCATACAATGGAATATTATTTGGCATTAAAAGGAATGAAGTAGTGATACATGCTACAATGTGGATGCAGCAAAAAAACATTATGCTAAAAGAAAGAAGACAGACCAGGCATAGTGGCTCACGCCTGTAATCCCAGGACTTCGGGAGGCCAAGGTGGGCAGATTGCCTGAGGTCAGGACTTCGAGACCAGCGTGGCCAACGAAACCCCGTCCTACTAAAAATACAAAAGTTAGCCAGGCGTGCTAGTGGGTGTCTGTAATCCCGGCTACTCGGGAGGTTGAGGCAGGAGAATCGCTTAAACCTGGGAGGTGGAGGTTGCAGTGAGCCGAGATGGCGCCACTGCACTCCAGCCTGGGCGAAAGAGGGAAGCTATCTCAAAAAAAGAAAAAAGGGCCGCGCGCGGTGTCAAGCCTGTAATCCCAGCACTTGGGAGGCCGAGACGGGTGTGATCCGAGTCCAGGAGATCGAGACACATCCTGGCTAACACGGGAACCCGTCTCTACTAAAAATACGAAAACTACCGGGCGAGGTGGCGGCGCCTGTAGTGCGCTACTCAGGAGGCTGAGGCACGAAGAATGGCGTGGAACCCGGGAGGGCGGAGCTTGCAGTGAGCTACTGCACTCCAGCCTGGGCGACAGAGTGAAACTCCGTCTCAAAAATAAATAAATAAATAAATAAATAAAATAAAAAAAGAAAAAAGAAAGAAAGAAGCCAGACACAAAAGACCACAAATCATATGGTTCCATTTACATGAAATGTCCATAATGGGCAAGCCTATAGACAGAAAGTAGATTAGTGGTTGCCAGGGGCTGGCGGGGAGTAGGGTTGGTGACAGCTAATGGGTACAGGGTTTCTACAGGAGGTGATGAAAATGTCCTAAAATTGCGGTGATGGTTGCACAACTCTGAATGCACTAAAAAAAATCAGTGTAA